GGTGTGCCCACCCCCTTACGGGTGGTCCCCAATTTATCTACTTGCCGAAGCTTTCTAATCGCTGGATCGACAATGAGCTAGGGACAAGGCTTGGCTGCTCACACCAGCGCGGGGCTAGAACGGACAAAGCTTGGCAGTTCAGATGTTATAATTATGCAGGGGATTTACCCACTGCGCCATCGCTCCCAACGCACAGCTACCTATACATCAGCTGTGGGTAGGGCTCTTTACCTTCCAGCCTGATCTCCCTAAAGTGCTTCTGACCCCTTCTTTGGTGAACCCCACTCTCTCCCAGACCAGCCTGTCCCCACAGTGAGAGCAGGCCGCAGAGAGAGACCTGAAAGAACACCCTGTGTTTCCTCAGTTAATGGCTAAGAACCCCTCTCCTCACACAGTTCAACAGTCTCCTCACAGAATCTCCCTCTCTGATCGGCTATAGCCTGTTGCTAAGCCTTATGGGGACTATAGGCTGTCTGCTCACTGCCATGCAGGTCTCTCTCCGGGGACCAGGCCACACTAGGCCCTGCTCCCAGTCCTGCACAGATCATGACAATGACCCATTAGCAACTAGATTTTTCTAGATTCCTGGGGGCTATGTGACTACTGAAGCATCAGCTTCCAGTCATTTTAGGGTATAAAAAGAGAGCATCACCCCATTGCTCGCTCTCTCGCTTCTATCCTCCTAACCCCACCCTATCTTGCTGGTTCCATTCCTTGCACAGTTTGGAGCCTTTCCACATGTGTTGCTGGCCAACTCATGATTCCCCCTCCCTAGTTAATCAAATCACTATGTCGGACGGGTAATGTATCACCCAACCAACGATATTTCCTGCTAATGCAACCATCTCTGTATTTTTCTATCTAAGGTTCCTAGATCTGTATTGCGTGTGTGTGTGTTTGATATTATTGTATGTGTGAGAATCATTCAGTAAAATAAATCACTACTTTTACTCAGCATCTATTTCTGGGATCGAGATAAGTTGGACTCCCATATACATAGGTTATTGGTCCCATAGTTAATGCCTATTGCCATTTAATATTCATAATTCCCCATATTTATTAACAAATAAGGCAATGGCTAACAGGTATCCTCAGTTTTCTCAGAGACTGTGAAAGAGATAGAGGATGTGGTGGTTTCTAAGGCACATTGGGCCTCAACTTTTTAGAGGCTCACAGAAAGAGACCCATGCCATGAATGATACCATTTTCTCTCCCCACACCACACAGTTCCAAAATGATGCTAGCTGTATTGGTTGAAAATGCTAAATATCAATAGGAGCAATATTACCCTACAGGTGGGACTGCACATTTATTAATTTATTTATTAAATTGGATTTTAAACCACCCTTCCCTGTAAGAACAGGGCTCAGGGCAGTGTACAGCATGGAATAAATTAATATAATACACAATTAAAAGCAGTTAAAAACAGTAAAAACACAACAATTTTATAACTTTAGTTAGCGTATTGTTAGTCTCACGGATTCCTGGTCCATCGAGTACCTGTATGAGTATTCTTAAATGATTTTGCTTGTACAATGTGCCTGGTCATAAGTCTATGAAGACAGTACCATAAAACTGAGAGATCAAACAAAGTAAACGTGGCATGCAGTCTGGACACTGCCATAAAATTTGACAATCAAAATGAAAGTGGCATGCAACGTAGAGGGAAGTTTCTATTCCAAAGTGGGTTTGGTAAAACAGCGGAGCAAATGCTAGATGCAGAATGGGCCTTCGTCTTGCAGCACAATAAACACCAAAGATGTTTGTAGCGCAATATTGTGTAGACTAGATCCCACTTTGTGAAATGTGAATGAAAGGGGAGTATTCAAAGAAAGAGTATGCTAGAATTTTAAAAGTTACAGTGAAATCCCAAGAACACTTTTTTGTGAGCAAGCCCCATTAAAAAACCCCGAATAAGATTCCAAGTACACCAGTTTAGGATGGCACTGGCAGTTTTTAAGCTGCCATAAGAACATCGTTATTTTGGTTTCAGTAGACTTAACACACACACACCAGTATTTTTGCATTAGGTTTACTGTGCCCAGGGCTGTATTATCTATAAGGCTGACTAGGCTGAAGCCTAGGGGCCCTGCAGGGACTAGGGGGCGATCAATTTTTTTTTTGCTGAAGCACTTTTATTTTCTCTTTATGAAAAGCCTGTAACATATAACCTCTATTAATAAGATAATTAACTACTTCCTTATTGCGGTGAAAGAAATTGTCTCTTATATTAAAACAATTATCCATAAGTTATATATATTTAATAAATAAAAAATATTCAAAATATTATACTTTTGAACAATTATACCCCCAAAATGTGCTTTCCTGAACAGTTCTACTCTTACAATAAAAATATATCAAAAATTGTGAATAGAACTCTTCAGGAGACCCTCAAAATGGATACAGGGCTATGTACTGTGGTCTAGTACCTACCGTACCAGGGTCGGGCTGTCAGCTGCAGTGGGGTGAAAGACTGAAGTGTTGGAGGGGCCCTGAAATACCTGAAAGTGTAGGGGCCCAGCCATGGTTTAATATGGCCCTGACTGTGCTGACTATAAACCATCATTCTCACACAGAAAAAGTCTCTCTACATCATTTTTTCTGATTCCACAGCTGGTGGATTATCTTTGGTCCCCACTGTAATGCTTTTAAGAAAACAAAATTTTTATAAAAGGCAAATACTTCCAATAAAAGTTTGGTTCCTTTTAGGGTTTTACATAGCAATTAAGATAGGAAGAGTTTTATTTTCAGACCTCACTTTTTAAAAAATATGTTTCTGTATTATTCTATATATTTTCAACAACATTTTGCTTAAAACATTTTTAAAGGATTGGTTTTTATTTTGGTGGTATTCACTTGTTTTCTAATCTGTTTCTCCAAGTTTATTATTACAGCCCTTCCTAATTTGCATTCACTCATTCTGGCTGTGTTTCTCTACATACTCACATCAGAGTAGATCTCAATTACTTGTGATTACTTATGCTTGAGAACATGGCTGGAACTTCGGCCTCATACTAACATTCTCCCATTTTATCAGGAAGTAGTCTTCCCTTTTTATGTTTTCATTCTTCCTGAGGTCAGCAGAAATCCCAGCCATATGAACAGCTGTCTAGAGAGCAGTCACCCACCCAACCATACATCTATATAGTCACTCCTCTTCCTCCCTTGCCTGCTGCTTGAGGGATACTGGCTCATCAAGCCTACAAGAAAGTGTGCTTGCAAAACATACAGCCTTCATAGCATAGCTGTGTTCCTCACTACCACAGTAGTGATGAGGGTTGCCAGCTCTGTGTTGGGAAATGCCTGGATCTTTTGGGGTGGAGCCTGGGAAGAGTGGGGCTTGGGGAGGGGAGGGACCTGAGCAGGATATAATGTCATAGAATCTACCGTATTTTCCTGCGTATAAGACAACTGGGCGTATAAGACGACCCCCAACTTTTCCAGTTAATATATAGAGTTTGGGATATGTTCCCCGTATAAGACTGCCCCTCTTCCAATGCACACCAAATAAAAATAAAAGCAGCCTGGAAGGACCACTGCGGGAAATGCCACCGCCTCTCCCCCCCCCCGCACCCTCTCTCCTCCTATTCTCTACTCCCAGCGTTGAATGTTCAACACCAGCCTTGCCTTGCTTTTGGGGGAGGAAGATGCTGCCTGGGCTCAGGAGAGCGAGCCCCACATTTCATAAAAGTGAAGTTGTGGGAGGAGGGGGGGCGAGGAGAGTAGCCGAGGAGGAGGGGGGAACTCTCTGAAGTTTTGGCTCCAACCCCCTCCCCTCTCCGCCCCCCCCTCGTGCAAGAAGGTGAAAGAAGGGTGGGTGTGGTAAGAAATATTAGAAATATAGAAGGTTTTGGGTTTAAAATGAACCAAAATAGTATACATATTTGTCTCTGCCCTCGCTAGGCCTGTTTGAATCAAAGCCCATGATTCTTTTGCAAGCCCCTTTTTCCCAGGAGGATCTCTTTCTTGGTCACACACGCAAGGATGTAACGCATTCAATTCCCAGGAAAATCACACATGCGAGACTTGCCAATAACCCAATTTCCTAGGCGATAAATTATGTCACCATTTAGGAAATTGGCAGCATCCCATTTCTGTTGGGTGAAACTTTTAGGAACAGGACCTTGTACCAGTGTTGGGTGAAGGTGAAGCTGATCCCGTAATGGCATTTTGTTTTGAACAATCGCGCCCCTCCCCTCCCCTCCCTTCCCTCCCTCACGTTACCAGCAGCGACTGGAGGAAATCGAAGAGACTCGGCCCCGCCTCCTCCTCTGCCAGACCCCTGCTCGGGATGGCTGGAGACGCTGCGTGTGTCTTTTGTTGTTTGCTATCATATGTGGTGTGAGCACCTGCACGGACCGGTTGCGACTGGGTGCGTAAGTCACAGTGTGTGTGTTCCTTTCCCAGCCCCAACTACCTCCTCCACCCCCTTTCCAAGTGCAACACAAAATAGCCCTTGCTCACTTCCTCTCGGTGCTTCTTTGCTCACAAGAGCAGCCTTCCTTTGGACCCAAAATCTGGGGAGGGAGAGAGGGGAACCGCACTGTGCCAGCAGCAGGATGCGCCCGAGCGCAGAAGGCGACGGCGGCGGGGTTCTCAGCCCCTCCCTCAGCGGCTATGCTGATGCTTCTGGCGTATTTACCGGCATATAAGACAACCCCCCACTTCTGAGAAGATTTCCCTGGGTTAAAAAGTCATCTTATACACCGGAAAATACGGTATCTTCCTTTTCTCCAGGGCAACTGATTTTCGTTGTCTGGACATCAATTGCAATAGCAGGAGATCTCCAGGTGCTGCCTGGAGGTTGGCAACAATAGTGATGATGGAAACCATGGAAGTCTGCTATTTATGGAATATTGTAAGGCCTAAACAAAATAATAAAAAGCAGAAACCAACCCAAGAGATCCATCGTAATTAGAAAATGAATACATGTGGAGCTAGCTTATTAAGACTGTTACTTTCAGTGAAAAGGCCAATAGCAACATATTGTTTGTTTCTACCTTCTGGTGGCCTGTTGGATGTTGCCACAACAACAACACCATTTCGGAACAGGTTTTCAAAAAGCTGCTTGAGAATCATGGCATCGGCAATGTCTGTGACCTGTGGAAGATAAAACCATCATTAGGTCCCATTTTTGAGTTGTTCTGTTAAAGGATTTGCAACTGGTTTATACTTTTTGAGAGAGAGAGAGAGAAATTCTTTGGGTAAACAGTGGAAGATTCTAATTACCATTTGCAGGAGAAAAGGAAGGGATAATTAATAAACAGCGAGAACATGGCAGTCTTTTCAGACAAGTCGGCTCTTTACTATAGAGCTCCGCTGGTTTTTAAACAAACTGCTAAACAATTCCATGTTAACTTCCATTCTAAAACTACAGGTGGGAAACGCAGGAAAAACCAAACACAGATCTCAACATTTAAAAGGCCTCATTAATTTGAACCAACAAACGCACACACGAGCCCAAGAAGTTCAAGAAAAGAAAATACACACCAGCTGCTTTAGATTTCTATTACCTTTCCAGCAAAGGTTCATGGAGGTGACTTTAAATGGTCATAGAACTTTTAGGAAAAAAGGACAAGTAGCCAAGTATACATAATTAGCTGCTGTTGAAAATAGAACAATATGACATAGATACCATTGTGTGATTGTTGCACAAAACAATTCAACAGATGGCCCATCACAAAAAATAAGCTATTTCATTGTTCTTTTTAAGTGCCTTCTATTACTGTCCATGAATAATCAAAAAGGCACTGCAGTCAGTTCCAGCACAGTCAGCCTCTTCTAACCTTCACAGACACAAATCATTTTCTCTCTCAGACGCACATACACACACCCTTCAATAAAAATTGGGACAACAATTAATAATGAAAAGAAACTTTTGTCTGAGAATTTTCACTTTCCTGCTTATTGTTCATGAAATTATTACAGCTGGGCTTAAGACACTAACTTTATTATATGCAGAATTTAAAAAAAACACATAAACTTACAATAGAGGAGGGGAATCAGTATAAAAGAGAGTTATCAGAGAGAAGCCAACTGAAAAGGCCATTCGAGAAGAGAACGCTCTTGGACTAAACAGCCAGTAGCCAAACCGTTTTTAATGTTGCTTCTACCCACCATGCTCTTCTGTGGTTCTTTAAAGGTCACTTGTGTGACATTTGAAAAGGACCGTGTCTTATGAATCTCTACAAGACTTTGAGCCTGAGTGCTAGGGTGTTGGTAGTTGCACATGCAGAGATGCAAAGCAAGCAGTCAATTTTGATATGCAAGTAAGCAGAAAATTGGGATTGTTGGGCATGGAACTAAAAAAAGACAGTAAGTAGTAAAATCGCTGCTACCATTCTTGATTAGACCACTGAAATTTGCAGAACAAGCAGACAGAACGGAGAACACAAAGAGACACATATTCTATTTCTAGTTAAGAAGTAGTGACAGAAGAACAGCCATTATAAATAATCTAGATTTGCAATAGGAAGATATGGGCACATTAGAATGCAAACTATTGATATGTTACAGGAAAGCAATGAGGCCTCCCTGGTTGGCGTTTTGATGTTGCAAAATTTGAATCTATTTGCCTACCAAAATAGATTATTTTTTTAAACTATATAATTAAAAAAGCAAGAGTCACTTTGCATACTTGGGTACCAATTTATGTCCTTTTGATCCTGTGTAGCCTTGGAAGGGAAGACAAACGTGAAAACATTCTCAAAGCTTAGGTCCTTTCTGTGCCTAGCATTCATTACAAACGGGAACAAAAGAAAAGGATATAAATTACCAATAAGAGGGATCTGCTAATGGAGAGAATGGAGAAATTTCATTAGCATTTAAGAGAAAAGATTTTTATGACTTCAGTTGCTTTCTTTTCACTTAAGTAAAAAACCCTAATGGTTAATTTATGTGCACAAGTGCTTTGGGTTCAGTCAGCCTCTGATTGGTACAGTTTCTTGTAATGAATGGCAAGCATAAGCACACATAAGCAGTAATTAGTGCTAGCACAAAAATAAGAGCTTAAATTTTTATTACTATGCTTTTAACAGCTTTGCTGGCTTACAAGTCTATCTAAAATGTCTTTTTAACAAGACATATGTGATAGGAAATACTGCACAGCATTCTCAAGTATTTGGAGTTTCAAGGAATAGGGATTCCATCTTTTTTTGTTTACTCCATCACTGAAAGGACTAAAAGAGCATTTGCACCATAGATGTGAGCTACTGTAGGACCTCAGTTTCCTCCCAGTTTTTGCAACTGAAATTGACAGGTGAACATACCAGGGAAAACGTTGCCAATCCCCAGTTAGGGGTGGCAGATCCCCCCGGTTTGGAACCCCTTCCCCTGCTTCAGGGCTATCAGAAAGGGAGAGTGGCTGCTGGACGCTCCGTTATACCCTTTGGAGACCCCATAGGGTATAATGGAGAATCAATCCATGTGTATTTGGAGCTCAGAGGGAGCTGTTTTGTGAGGTAGAGGCACCAAATTTTCAGCATAGCTGCTGGAGCCTCTCCTCAACCCCCCCGATTCAAAAAGATTGGACCACAGGGGTCCAATTCTATGAGCCCCAAAAGAAAGTGCCCCATCCTCCATTATTTCCAATGGAGGAAAGTCATTTAAAAGGAATGTGGTCCCTTCAAATGCAACAGCCAGTTCACCTGAAACTCACTTTGGAGTTCAATCACACTTCTTCCCTCCCCTTTCCCAGAGCCTCCTGGTAAGTCCCCCATCAGGTTATCAGCTTCACCTACAGCAAACTGGACTCATAGTGATCACTCACATCCATCATTCTCCTTTACCCCATGGTCAAGTTGAATTCCCTACCCTTCATTCTTTTAGAACTGTATTTATATACCATCTTGCTGCCAATTTACAATTTACAATTTACAAAAGTACTGAATTACAAAACAGGAGAAATTCACTCACCCCCCTAGTCATCTCCTCTGGATCTGATCTCATGAGCCCCTGGCTCTTCTCTGGGGGCACACAGGAAAAGCTCCTAGGAAGGAGAACCTGTCTCTGCTGGACTGCAATCTTCAGGAACTGATGTCATGAACTCTATGACCCTGGTATTCTCCTCTTCTGTTTTTTTTTTAAAGTATCACATGAATGTCCATTCACAGACCTACAGTTGGAATCAATGCAGTAAGGCTGCTTCCAGAGCAGCCTCACTGCTCTAAAGTTTAATATCTATCATCCCAAGTGAACTCCAGATTTCACATACACTTTGATTTATACAAATATACCATACCATCCCCCTCATGGATCACTGCCTTGTCGTGGCGAGGGGGCTTGCGCAGTTCAATGAAGCTGTGGGCTATGCCGTGAAGGGCCACCCAAGACGGACAGGCCACAGCAGAGAACTCAGACCAAGAGTGATCCACTGGAGAAGGAAATGGCAACCCACTCCAGTATCTTTGCCAAGAAAAGTCCATGGACAGTAACAAAAGGCTAAAAGATATGACGCCGGAAGATGAGCCCCTCAGGTCAGAAGGTGTCCAATATGCTACTGAGGAAGAGCAGAGGGCAAGTACAAGTAACCCCAGAAAGAGTGAAGCGGCTGGGCCAAAGCCGAAAGGACACTCAGTTGTGGATGTGTCTGATGGTGAAAGGAAAGTCCGATGCTGCAAAGAACAATATTGCATAGGAACCTGGAATGTAAGATCTATGAATCAAGGTAAGCTTGACATGGTCAAAAATGAGATGGCAAGACTGAACATCGATATCTTAGGAATCAGTGAACTTAAGTGGACAGGAATGGGCGAATTTAACTCAGAAGACCATTATATCTACTACTGTGGCCAGGAATCTCGTAGAAAAAATGGTGTGGCCTTTATAGTCAACAAGAGAGTGCAGGGGTCAGTACTGGGATACAATCTTAAAAATGACAGAATGATTTTGGTCCGATTCCAAGGCAAACCATTCAACATCACAGTAATCCAAGTCTATGCCCCAATCACT